TGCTCCGCTCCTGGCAGTCCACGGCAGCCACCTTCGATGCCTCCAACCTCATCTACCCCATCTTTGTCACGTGAGTGAGCCCCAGCTCTGCGGGTTCGGGAGGGACCAAGCTCAGGCTGAGTGGTGTAGGTGCCCCCTGAGCGTCAGCTAGGTTCAGATTCCCCAGCTGTCCAATGCTGGACAGGGGATTCCTTCTCCAGCTGTGTCCTCACGTCTCTGTCCCATCCACCCCCTGCAGTGACAGCCCTGATGCCGTGGAGCCGATCCCCAGCCTCCCAGGACAGGCCAGGTAAGACCCCAGTGCCACCAAGCTCTGTGCTGGGTCACTGTCCTGCTCGAGGTGAGGATGAGGTGATGCTTCCCACCTGCTTTGGCCCCTGCCTTGGGGATCCCCCCACATCAGGTGGGAGCAGTCATCTCCTAAGGGAGTGGAGGGAGTCATACTGGGGATGCTGGGCAAGCACCAGTACTGGTAGGAGCAGTGCCAGCAGGGCCTCGCAGGGACCCAGAGCACTTGCCTGTTGTGTGGGCTGGGCACACAGGGGGGCTGGAAGCAAACAGGGCTCCCAGCAGCAGCTGGAGAGGACACGGGCTCTGGTGCTGCTGGGTCCTGCTGGGCTGGCAGCTCCCATCCTCATCTGCTGCTGCCTTAGCAGGGGGGTGGTCAGGGAGGCCCCAGGGGGTGGTCCTGTGGGGAGGTGGGCTGCATCTGGATCAGGGATGCCAGGATAAGGGATCCAAGGGCAGGGCAAGCTCATCCCTTTAGAGCAGTGTCCGTGTCACACAGATAATGCTCCTGGAGCCCCAGATAAGCTCCTGGATTGTTCCTCCCAGTGCTGAGGCAGCAGCTCCCCTGTACCTCCAGCTGCTGCTTGGTGGGGATGCCTGTGGGTGGTGGGTCGCTCATGGAGGAGCCCCCAGGTCACAGGGCAGACCCCGGGTCACACAGCACCCCCTGGGTCACACAGCACCCCCTGGGTGCTCACCCCACAGAGCAGGTCTGGGTGCCTGGCAGCCCCCTCAGTGCCTTTGCTCTCCTCAGGTATGGAGTCAACAAGCTGGAGGGGATGCTGCGTCCCCTCGTGGGGGACGGGCTGAGGTGTGTGCTCATCTTCGGGGTGCCCAGCAAGGTCCACAAGGTCAGTGTGCGTGGTGGTGCCAGGGGGCTCGGGGCAGCCACAGGAGTGTGGGGAGCAGCGTGGGGCCGGGGGTCTCCTGATCAAAGGGGAGCGGTTCTGCATCTCTGGGTGTGCTCAGCAGAGCAGGATGGGCATGGGAGACTGTAGTGACACCCAAAAAGCTCCCAGAACTCTTGTAGGCCACCTTGAGACCTGCACTCACTGCTCATGACCTGTCTCCATCGTTGGTGGTCACACCACCCTGCGTTACAGGGTCTCATGCTTCAGAAAACGTTCCTGTGCAGAAGTGCTGCCACGGCGGGGC